TTTATGCTACAAAGCTACGCTAAAAATGTCAGGTACCTAGCTCAACCCGTTCTCGAGTTATCGTGTTTACAGACAAACAGACACACAGACAGACAGACAGACAGACAGACAGACAGACACGAAACTTTTTGATCATCACTGGAGTAATAGGCTTCGCTATCGCTCAGCCAATTATTTTTGATGAAACTTGTGTTGTAGGTGCTATTTTTTCACACCGAAGACGATAGGATTATTCATTTAAACCGAAACGGGAACCATAACATGCTACCGCGCCTCTTACAATCACTCACTTGTTGTTCGGGCGAGGCCTCGGCAGGGCGTCCAAACCTCTCCGTCCTCGTGCGGCTTGCTTGCGTTGTGTTCCACACACCGGCTCGCCCAGCGCCGAACCGCCGAACACAACCGGGGCGAGAGGGGCTGAGAAGACGGACGGAAGCCAGCACCTTTGGCAGAGGGTCTTGGAGCTCACTCGGGCTGCGCTGGGCTGGGCTGTGCGTTGCATCTGCTGGGCTGACCACGCTGATCTGCCGCCGAGTGTTGACTGTGCAGTGTGCCATCACGGACAGGTCGGAGGGGGGGGGGGGGGGGTACTTTGTGGCAACACCGTTCAGAAGACGAGCCGTTCTCGAAAAATGCAAATGGTTATCGAAACTTGCTGTGATGTGACCACTCAACACGAATAGGCAACTTCATGGTTGGTATGATATTAATATTCTAGAAAGGGGTCGTCCACTTTTGGCGTTATTTCCGGTTGCTTAGAGGAATGTGGGGGAGAGGGTTTGTTGGCTAGCATGACTGTGTGTGACATGGAGGCAAACGTCATGCACGCACCTCCCCACATCGTTTTCGAATCGCGCCTTTAATTTCTTAGTACAAATTCTAGTCATGTGACAGGGTGAGAGTACTAATAGAGTACTAATTCCTGACGAGTAGTACAATTTTCTTCCGTCATTGGGCGGTGGGTGGTGCCAGTGGTGCGCGCTTGACAGAGGTTCGTGAGCCCAGGCGCCAGGATCACGACTCATGAATCACTTTGACGTCAAAATGATCAGTGTATTTGGCTTGACCGTTTCGTTTCTAGCTTGGGGTAAGCGCAGGCCAGGATGACTGAGAGTTGACGACGTTGATCGACTGCCCCACAGGTGCGCAGGCGGCAGCCCCGCAGGCCGCAGGATGACGCCGCGGCGCGCGGCGGTGCCGGCGGGACTGGCGCCGCTGCGGCCGCCGCCGCCGTTGCTGCTGCCGCTGCTGCTGCTGCTCGCGGCCGCGTGCTCGGGGACCTTCTTGCCGCGGCGGCTCGAGTTTGAGGCCGCGTTCCCCGAGGCGCTGGCGGGCCGGCCGGCCGCCCTGGACGACAGCCCGCTGTGCGAGGACGTGCACCCCGAGCTGCGCGTGCCCTGCCGCTGCTCCTTCATCCACTCGCGGCGCGCGGGCGAGGAGCACGTGACCGTGGAGGTGGCCATGGACTGCGACCGCGTCGTCTTCCCCGGCGAGCTGCCGCCGCTGCCGCCGCGGGCGCCCATCGTGTCCTTCAGCCAGCGCTGGGCCGGGCACCAGGCGCTGCCCACCGCGGCGCTCACCACGGCCGAGCTGCCCCTACGCCGCCTGGACCTGGCCGGCAACAGCCTGCGCCGCCTCTCGGACCGCCAGCTGGCGGGGCACCTGGCCGACCACCTGCAGGAGCTCAACCTGGCCGAGAACCTGCTGGGCGACAACCTCAACCCCATCTTCAGCGCGTCCGAGTTCCACAGCCTGCGCGAGCTGCGGCTGCTCGACCTGTCCGGCAACCAGATCAAGGGCCTGGAGGAGGGCATCCTCAAGGGCTGCGATAACCTGCAGGAGCTGCGCCTGGACCGCAACAGCCTGCTGGAGGTGCCGGCCGCGTCGCTGCACGGCCCGCGCGCCCTCAGGGCGCTGTCCCTCGCGCACAACCGCATCAGTGAGTACCCCTTTCACCACGAGTATATGGGTCCGGGCCGGGGCCGCTCGCGAGCCGAGCGGTCGAATGGGCCGATCATCGCAGCGCAGAGAGTGGAAAGATGAATCTGGAGATACCCAAGTCTCGCGGGTTCATTCATTGCCCTGCCCTGGGCACGGGGCGGGGGACGGGGCGGGGCG